TAATAGGCCTATTTCATTGTGCAGGTGTTACTAATTGGTCTCCCAGCCTGTGCAGATGCTATCATGTTCAAGGCCAGAGATGGAGGTGGCATGATTAGCTTCTCACAAGAACCTGTTGCCCATATGATGGGAGGAGGAGAGCTGGGGTGATGAGGTAGTTTTCCAGAGGCTTCTTGGGAGAGTGTGTCCTGCTTGGATGTCACCCTCACCTGATATTGCTGGGCTAAAAACAATAATTCAGCTAAGGCCCAAAGGAAAGTGGAGAGAAAGTGAGGGGGCTCCCTCAACCCCAAAAAATGGAATCAAGACACCACAAAGGTAAGTTAGAAAACAAGGGGCCAATAATTAAAACTTAACTATAGAATAATTATAAGTAAAAATAATTGTATTTATTGCAGAGACTTTTAAAAACATACAAGGGCCCAAATCAAGCCTCATAACTCAATAAGAGTGATATGTTCACAAGAGGAAACATGACCTGATATGCTTTGGCCCATCAGAGGTCAAACATTAAAAGGTACATATAGGCTCCTGTTGCAATCAAAAGGCAGCTAAGAAGTTGATACAGGAACAAAAAAGGAACTTTCCAATATGGAATCAAATGACACAAGAAAAATATTATTTGTGAAGCCTTCTTGAAACTAGCTTTGTGTCAATTACAGATGCATACAAGCTGAAAAATGTTGCATGGGTATGCCTTCCAATTTTGGTCCAGAAAGTATGGGTGAAACCACCAGAGCCAATGTGTTCTATAGTGAATGAAGGTTGGACTAGCGGAGACACTGATGAACGGAAGGCCTAAACTGTGTTCTGCTTGAATTGCAATTGGGAGCAGTGTAGAGAATTTCTGAGCTTTAGCCAGTGACTTTGAAACTTATGGCTTGTGCTGTCTAACGCACTTTCTGAAAGTGTTAGACAGTTGAACTAGTCTCGTTTTCTTGCTGTAAGGTTTTAGAGTAATGTTTTGGCTATTTAATAAACTTTCTTAATTGATTAAACCTACAATAAACTTTATAAATCTTTTGTTTAATAAACAACAGTCTGGTAACTTGTGTGCAATTGCCCTGGGGATCCACAGGTTTCGACCTCATGGTTTCTGACAGTGATCTAATGCCTGCTGCTAGTGCAGCTAAGAGATCCTGTTGTGGGCCAGCCTGACCGAAGACTCCTTAGGAGTGAGGAGCCGTATGCAGCCAGCTCTGAACCAGCTGAAGTTAGTGAATTAGAGATACAGGAGCCTTGAGATGCATTGCCGGCAGCTGACCTTGACCCACTCACACCCAGCTCTGAAGTAGCCGATGAAACACAGCTACAGGAAAATAGCCCACCAGACTCCCCCCCTTAATTGAACAGTGAAGGGAAAAGCTCCAGCAAGATTTAAGGACACACAGGGTGCGTTCAGACGCGCCGTTTCAGCCGGCATAAACTGTACCGGTTGGAACCGGTGCAGTTTATGCCGACTGAAACGCGATCACACTTACCTCCCTCACAGCGGAGCCCATCGCTGTATGCCCGTTCACATGCTGTGGGCGTCGGCATTCAAAAACAAACTCAATTTGAACATGCACATAGGCAGCCATCCACAGAATGGCGATCTTTGCGCATGCTCAAAACACCCCGTATTACATTTAAAGTTTAAAGGTAAGGACTTACCTTTAAAGTTTAAAGCCCAAACTGGCCTCCCTGAAGTCCCAGACTCCTCCGGAAAGTTAAACTAAGGACCTTTTCTTTTTTTAAAAAACAAACGCCGGGTGAAGCTTCGCCCAAGCGCATATCAGCAACCCAAAAAAAAAATGGCGGGCGAAAATCGGAAGCCTCGGGCTTCTGAACAGAAGTGGCTAGACACCGGTGGAGAGCGGTCAGACGGGGGTAAACCGATTACAACCGTTGTACTCAGGATACCATCTTGGCTCAGTGCCAGCTGCTTAATGATAACAGTTCTGAGTAAGTGCAGGAGCACCTCCAAGCAGATGGCTATAAATCAGGCTTGTTAAGGAATGCCTATGTAAATCAGACCCGGAGAAGTGCAGATTATGGAAGCAACATGTCACAACCCTCTGAGCTTTACAACCACAACTCCAGACTCCACCTGCCACCTTTGGACTGACCCTTGACTCTGCTTTTTGGACCTGCCTGAATCTTGCTGATCAATGACTTTGGACTGCCTTGACTCTGCTTTCCTGAACAACCCATGAACTCTTTATGCTGCTAAACCTGTATTTTATCTCTGGACTGGACTCTTGACTGTGATCTAGCTCTGTTGCCTTGCTCTGCCTATATTCTGGGACAGGTTCCTGCAGTACTGGTTTGTAGCGCTGCAAGAGGCTGTTCAGCTAGGCTCGCTGCAAGGCCACTTTCATTTTCCAGTCCACTCCTAAGAACTTTTATTCCCATGATCAACACTACATGTATCATCTGACTTAATCATCACTGACTCACCTGGAGACTCAAGAAATACAGGTACCAGGGAAAGCCTGTTGTCTCTATTGCATGGGGACACTGCAGCGCTTTAGAAAAACTCTGCAGCCTTGTATATATCATGAAGTCAGCTATTCACATATGTATCAATTTGCTGAAGTAATGGTATTAGCTGGATAATGTGCAAAATATATTCAAGTTGTTTGCAAAAAACAGGGCATTGTTGCATTGCGAAAGATTTCTATTAATGCACTCTATATGAATTGTAAGTAGAACTGGTGAACTAAATGATAATTGAAAAATGTAATTAGCCATTTTACAGTCACTCCACTTTTAATTAGAAGTCAGTTTGGAATGGTTTCAAATCTCAGCTAAATCTGTAACTACTAATGTATTGACCCTTGAGGGTAAGTGAGGTTAACCCTCATTTCTACATAACGTTCAGCAGAATAAAGCAAGCCAATTGCTAGGACACAATCCATGAGTAAAATACATTTTAAAAGTGACACTGCTGTTCCTTAAAAGATTACCATAGAGGTGGTAGTATAGTAGTTAACTATTAGAGATGGGGAAATTAAAAACAAACAGTGGGATAGAAATCCACAGAGGGGACTGTGATAGAGGCATGTCATTGTCACAGAGATCTACCTTTATGTAATTGTCACAGAGATCTACCTTTATTGCACTTTTTCAAGCAGAAAGGAACATCTGAAAGAAAATATTTGTAATAGTTGACTGTAACCTTCACAATGAACTGCAAAACTGAGATCAACTGAGCAGCTAAGAGAGATATGGGAATGCATCTGACAAGTCAGGGGATCTCCTGTTAGATTAGTCAAGTGACAGCTCCTAAAATTAATTTTATTGACCTAATTTATAATCCACCCTTCTTGCAGAAACCAAAAGACTTATCACACAAGTCATCTGATCTGTACTTTTCTCCCAATGGATAGAATGAAAACCAGACTATACAGGCTCAGGATACATTTCATTCATTTTGAGGTATTCTCAAAATATGTACTACATCAATCTTGGCTACCAATAATGGTGCAAGTGTCTCCTACAGTCATTGTTCCAACGCATGCAGATAGATTAGAGTCACAAACAGTAGTACAATATTAAGCCTACAGGGAGAATTTCAATACTAAAACCCCATTAAGAAGCATGTGGTCTTTCACCCTCAGACTTGCACAGTTCTTCACAGTGGGACATTTCACCATTTCTAAAGTAAGGGCAATTTGGAGGAACAGAAAATATTCCAAGCAGAGCAACTGGATGCAATTTCTTACAAAAAGAAAAGATAAATTTGAGATACTCCAACTCAGTCTTTGCAAGTACCATGACACATCTGCTTTTGATTTTATTTACTTACATTTCTGTAAACAAATGCAGGTGACTTAATTGGAACAAAACTGTTGAACAATGTAGTCAAAAGAAAATAAAAATTACTTGCAACTCAAACTGGCATACTGCTTTACTGGTAAGTTTTATCATCTCATGTTGTTTCTCTTATTCTGTAACACCAACATGGCAACAGCTGTGCAAACTTTGTCCCAAATGCAAGAGCAGTAAGTGGTATATGTGCAGAAATGTTTGATTCATCTTTTTCTTTTTAGTGCCAATCTCATATTTTTTAATTCCACCTATATTCCCATTATAACAAAGGCCACACTAAGCACTTCCCGCATTTCAACCACATAACTGATATGGTTTTATCAGCACATTTTCTTCCATTTGAAGGGGAAACAGTACAATTTGAATACTTCAGTGAAAAGCTAGTCAATTTCTCTTTTCATTCGTTGATGACCTCAAAGGGCAAAAATTAGCATAACAGAAGAGATATCTGATCAATGTGCATGGGCACGAAAGCTTATACCCAGTATTAAACTTTGTTGGTCTTAAAGCTGCCCCTTGCACTCAAACTTTGTTCTAGAATCTATTACTTCAGACCAACATGGCTACCCACCTGAACATATCTGATGAAGTGAGCTCTGACTCATGGAAACTTATGTCCTGGAAAATTTAATTTGTCTTTAAGATTTTTGCTGTTGTTCAGTCGCACAGTCGAGTCCAACTCTTCGCGACCCCATAGACCAGATCCCGCCAGGCCTTCCGGTCTTCCGCCATCCTCTGAAGTTGGCTCAATTTTATGTTCGTTGCATCTATGACACTGTCTAACCATCTCATCCTTTGCCGTCCCCGTCTTCTTTGACCTTCAATACTTCCCAGCATCAGGGTCTTCTCCAGTGAGTGCTCCCTTCTCATTTGGTGGCCAAAGTATTTGAGCTTCAGTTTCATTATCTGGCCTTCCAGGGAACAGTCAGGGTTGATTTCTTTTAGAATTGACTGATTTGATCTTCTTGCAGTCCAAGGGACTCTCAAGAGTCTTCTCCAGCACCATAGTTCAAAAGAATCTATTCTTCGGCGCTCGGCCTTCCTTATAGTCCAACTCTCACAGCCATACATGACTACTGGGAATACCATTGCTTTGACCATTTAAGATGTTACTGGAGTTAAATTTCGTTATTTTTTTAAAAATGTAACGCCGTAATAAGCAAGCAGCTGGCAGCCACTAAAAATTTTGTTATTTTTTAAAAAATGTAACGCCATAATAAGCAAGCAGCTGGCAGCCACTAAACAGCACGAATACAGGTCAATTAACTTTGGGGTGGGTGAGAGAGAATTTACACTGCTATCAATAAATGGGGTAAGTTTTTACTATAGCAGGGTAAGCATCATTTATTGGACCCATTTCTAGGGCCGTGTATAAACTACACTTTGAACTTAATGGCATGAAATGTCAGACATTCATTTGCCTTCATAATTGCAAGGGTGAAGCAGCATAGGTTTACTCAGAGTCATGCATATTAGTATTTCATATTCCGTAAATTTGCATTTCTTTGCTACTGTACTTTTCAGTACATGTATTCAATCTTTTATACACACATACAGCGAAAGGGATGACAATTAGTGTTTTGAAGACAGTCTTTGGTGACATCTGCTTAGATGCTGAAAAAGGAAGAACAGTTACCAATCAGCAAATAGATACTGGATGCACTTTGTTAACAGATGCCCTACGTAGTGACTTGTTCCATTGCAGGAGAACACCGCAGCAGCTTTGACTGTTCCACTGCATTCATTATTACCTGAAACTAACCCCAGCAGCCACTGAGATAATCTCTTAGCCTTCTGTACCCCAACATTCATGGTTAACAGGGACCATGTGAGGCAGCAGAAAAGTACCAATGAGAAAGAGAAGAAAGCTGATCCCATCTCCTGGTGGTGCAGATTTGAAAACAATCTCAGTTACAAAGTGTTTATTCCTGAAGAATATTGAAAAAAAATATACGTATTGTCCAGCTTGATATTAAAAGGCAAGTGGAAACTGTCATCTCTCTTCTTCATATTGAGACATTAGATTCAGGTTCATATCTATTTATAGAAGATTAGGAAGTTTCACAGAACATTCTAACGGTTTCACGGCATTTTTTTTAACCGAACCTATGGTTTGATGAGGACATTCTCATCAGGTCAATATGGAATGGTAACGAGCTAGACAGACCTTGTGACAATACATGTAAGGAAGAGTGCAGCCTCTTGAAGAGCAATATATAGAACACAGGAATCCTCAGATATCTGAGCCAAGCTCTGCACATTGCTTGTCTGATATGTGATTTGCTAATGATTCTATGATGTCAAGAAGTAGAGGCTGACTGAGGGACCGAAGATTTGGCAACTTGGAGACCTTAAAAGAAAAGGGAAAAAAATCTAGTTATCACTCCAACCCACATCTAAAAGACATGGAATAAATCAATTTACAGATAATAAAGCATTATTTTAAAGGCATAAATTACTGGGCAAAGTTTTAAAGAAAAAAGTCAGAGGAAATGCTTATTTGCATAGTCCATTTAAAACAAATTTTCTTCAGACTAGTGCTTCACAATGATGAAGAGTGAACTATCTGGAGGCATGCCTAAAATACATGTAAAGGCACTTGAACTAGCTTTGTAATGCATTTCTCCTTCAGCTTCACTGCACTCTATTTGTACAAAGAAGCTATTTGCTTAGTTTTGCTAGAACCAATTCAAGCACTTTATTTTAAAATGACTAACTCACTCACAAAAAAGGTACATATAACACCACTACATATTATGGAACATCTTAAATTCAGGGACATTCCTTTTTCAATGATAGTTTCCCAAGAAGCACAAGGTTTTTGCTTGGAAATCAACAAAGGTCCTATTTAAAACAGTAAATGTATTGAAGTATAAATGAACAACAACAAAAATCCCCCTCCTAAAGAACCCTAAAATTATATCACCTGCAACCAAGCTTTTAATAGAGCACAGCAGTCACAGTAAAAGACAGTCTTCTGAAAGCCTGATTTTGATAGTTAGTTTGAAATTCTGAGCCAAGAATTGGCTTAGAGCCAAACTATAGAACAAAGTTAGGAAAAGATTGTTGCCAATTCCCCTTCTCACTGCAGCCTTGCTTTCAGGTGCTTTGGAGCCAAGCCTATAATTTCCCTACTATGCTGTGCAATCACAACTGAAATAAAAAGAAAATAAAATACTCCTATTGTAAAGAAAAAATGCAAATTCATACACGACATAAAGCAAAAAAAGCAACATTGCTTATTATTTCTTCCTACAGTTATACCAATAGGAAGAAGAGGTTACATCTAGTACTGAAACTGGTTTCTTCTGACTGCTAAGAACCACTAGATCTTTGACGTGGTCTCTGTGCTTCACACCCATGGGATCTAGTGCGCAAGCGCTGGATCGATTTGTGCTGTAGCAAGTTCTTTTAACGGATTTTCACGCCCAGTCCCTCGGGCATGCGCAGGAACCCCACCGCGCATGCCCAGAGGGGTGGGCGCGGACATCCCGCCAGTTCTTTTCTTACCGCCTCGTTGAGTAGACCTATTTTTCGTCAGTAAGATTGGTTCGCTTTTGGCTTTCGCCTCACAGCTCTTAGGGATTATTTCCTTATTCTAAATTTCCTCTTCTTTCTCTTTTTATTTGTTTGTTCTTAAAAAAAAAATAAAAAAAATTATTTTCTGCTGAGGGAGAGTCTACCGATTACCTCAGGCCTTCGGCCTATCCCCCCCCCCA